GAAACCTATTCAATAGTTAGTCGTTCGAGGAAATCTTGTAGTAGCTTCAGGCTGGACCAATTGCACTGTGCCTATTTGAGCTCAACGGCGATGGCAAATGAATCATATTCTGAAGGCCGGGGACAGTAAAAATGGCCTGCTTCTCATGGAGGGACACCTGAAGAATATATCGAACTAAAACACGCATACAGCGTCATCCTACGCGATGAATAGTGTGGTGGTGTGAACCAGTGGAGAGACATTCGTTATGTTGTAACTAAGGTGCTGGAACCTGCTGAGCTACACCCTATTCTTCCCAAGGGGTACGCGTCCCTTCCAATTCTATCATACCCCTCCTCCAATCCAGGCTTGCGCTGCTACCATATAATTGGCGATCCTCCTCTCCTCGGTAAGAGCCCTCCAGTCTGTGAGGATTGCTGCGCCTCAATAGATCGAGGAAGTAGGGAATCGGTGCGGAATGGGAACGATACGGATGGGGAGCGCGTCCCTCTCCCAGAAGAACAGGATACGGGCCAGTGATTCCGTGATCATAACAAAGATACAAAGAGCTTTGGGATTGAAATGGATGCACTTTCTGGTAGGTTCCCACACACGAATCATCGACGACTTCCAAATTAATTATGCACACCTAGGCAGCCCGCGACTGCATTGCATTCAATTTACTCGAGCGGTGATGCGATCAATTTTATTTCTTTCAAGTTTCAATCTAGGTCACGTTTAGTTTGCGCTTCAGTGCTTGAGCAAATTTTACTAATCTAATGGTCGACCTTATCAGATTAGAAGTGATTTGTCGAATTTCCGTTAAGGGAGTTTCGCTTGAGAGAGAAAAATAAGGATGATTTGAAGATGTATGTACATTGAAGAGGACGATTCAAACAAAATTCACTCTAAAAAGTGCTTTCCAAAGCGAATTCCGCAAAAATTATGAGACTGTTCAGCGAAACTAGAGCGAAATTTGACAGGTGTGGGCAGGATGTGTGGGATGCAAGACACTCACCGTCCTTCTCAAAAGTGCACTTCAAATGAGTCACTAATTATCGTTATTGTCCTGTTCTTACTAAGAAAGGACCCTGAGGAGAGCTACTATGAAGGACAACAAAACAAGAAGTGGCCGCACTTCCACCATCTTCCGGCTGTTTTCTAAATTTTACACTTCAAAGTCTTTCATTTTCTGGGTTGCTCCAATTTAAGGACTTGTCCACATAAAATTATGGTTCTATTTTATACATTGATTACTGGCTTAAGACCTATCATTCAGGACAAGCAGAAGAACAAGGAACTGCTTGTCCCAGGCTTGTTTGTCGGTTTGTTTTGGTCAACAATTGGAAAAATCGGAAGGGCTGTTACGCGTTCAAATTCCCGCCGTACATCTGTCACAAATGTTGGCGACGGGAACGATTCCACTTGGTTCTCGGAGTGCCTTCACTAGGAACTCTTTGGCCTTTTCCACCTATGGCAATAACATTCTCTTTTCCACTGCATCCTATTCCTTCAACCGTTTTGTCTCCAAATCCGGACGCTTCAACTCGATTTTTCAACGCGTCGCCTGACACGTGGCCGTACCAAGCAGCATGCGTTCTTTCATGCGTTGCCTTGTCTCCGCCTTACCTACCCGCAACCAGCCCCAGAACGTGTTTTTTGCATATTCGTTTCCCTTCAGAAACTGGATCTTCTTGTGTGAACCTTGCACTTTCTCCCAAGTAATCACAGCTGAGGCATCCATTTTGAGAACGAATGCAGAAATTTCTCGTGAACGATCCCTTCAAAGGAGTGCTTCACCCGAACTCCTGAGATGAACACCTTTCAGTGTGAGGAAACACTACTTGAGTCCATGAGAGAAGAATACCATAGTAGTGAAGCAAAAAAGCTAAAATAACTGAGCCTTCTGTATTATTTTATAGCAGGTTACAATGACCTAATAACAATGGTTGGACTCAGCCTCATTGAAGAGGCACCTGCCTTATTAGAGGTGGTAAGCTCGCAACTGTGCTACTTCATAGGTCGCGACAACTTAACACCTCGAAACGGCTCCCTAAAGCGCTCGGCTCAATCCGTCGACTCATCGTCGATCCGTGCCCGCCCACCATCTGACATCTTAGTTGTGTCGTAATGTTAACCTGCCATTCTCTCTCGACCCGGACTTCTTAGACCTCTCCGCGACTCGCATTCACTCTTACCTAGCTAGCCCCTCAGACTCCTCCATGTCCACTTGCCATCCTTATTTTCATATCCGTGCAGTATTACCACGACATTTTGACCCTGAATCTCGCCTTTAAGTTTACCTTGGCATTTTAATGTCTCGATATTTTTATTCGGCAAGGAGCGCAGGGATGCCTCTGGCTTGCTTTTGGTCCACTGAAGCTTTCCAAGATTGCCAAAGTGATTCCTAAAACAGACCGCCACGAACAACTGCTGGATTAGCTTGATCAAGCCCAAAGAAGGGTGTTTTGTTTATAGGTTCATAGTACTGTTCATAGGTCTATAATAATTTAACGTTGCTCAGTTGGAGTAGAGCGTGTAGCTCGGTGCTGCTTAACCTAGAAAAAAAATGGAGAAGTGTACAAAATCAGTTTCCGTTTCTTTAACAATTTTGTTGGACAAGAGCCAACGGGAATCACCCTAGAAACTCGATTATCTAAGTGCTGTTTTGACGTCAACAGGCGCTGTCGGCGAAGCACAAAGTTAATGTCTTTTTGGACCACGTTGGCCGAGATGATCGCCGACGTCGCTCGGCCCACGCTGGCTGGAAAGACATTATCTTTGTATGGGTCTTGATGACAAATGACGACACTTCTCAGCAGATGCTGGAAACAACTTGAAAAGGAGGATAGAACAGCTTCAGGAGCTATAGATTTCACTCGCTAATTGGATTTTCTCGAGGTGTACTCGAAGGCAGGATCAGGAAGTTGATAATGCCCGAATAGTAACGGTGCCGCCTGTTGTAAATGAGCATGGTGGGGAAAAGACGAAGCCCTAAGGGAAAAACCAGCCGTTTGAAAATCAAGCAAATGAGGCACCTTATTGTTCATCAGGGACCGATTTTAGCTATGCGATCCTCATTCGTTTCCACTGATGGACTTCCTTATAGGGGCAGTAAATAAGGGCATGATTTTATGTTTTGCTGGGGTATTCGACAAATAGGATGCCTTGCACGCCTTCGTGCATAGACCCTAGCAAGGTTTGTCATCTACAAATGCAACACACATGGAAACACGGGGAGTGACTCACTTAAAGGCAGCGATTACGATAAGGTGGGAGCGCATCGGGAAGCATATGCACCACACGAATCAGTTACTTGGCTGCCAGGAAGCGAGGTGTAGCGCTTTCACGACGAAAGGTGCGCTGGTTGCTGAGCAGGACTTCGAAAGCACTCCGCCCCAAAAGCGATCCGCCCACTAGTTTAGGGACGAGCTGCGTTGCCAGCAGCGGCACAACTGGAGCAACTCGATTGGAGCGTGGTTTGGCATGGTGCCACCAAACGCGTTGCGCTGAACTCGTTCATACGCCCGCTTTCTGAGCTGTTACCTGTTCATGAGTGAAAACCAACGGCCAAAAAAGGGGTCCCATTTTGCGTTTTTTTGACGGATTTCTCCGCTTTTTTCGCCACCGACGTACCATTGAGCACCACCACGTCTCCTCTAAACCTTCCTGAATCTATCGCAATCGCTGGCTTTGAGGGGCAGAGCACAATTTGTTCTACAGTGGCCACCCATTTACCTTTGGCCTTTGAAATTGAACAATGGCAATG